ACAGAGAGGTGAAATAGCTGAGTTATGAATAAACATAGATCGATATATATATATATATATGTGTGTGTGTGTGTGTGTGTGTGTAAATTGTTAGAGTTACAAAAACGTAATATCGCAAGGAAAAGATATAATTTGTTTCTTATAGGTATTGTGAAATATGAAAATAAAAAATGAAAGCAGTTACAAGACAGACCAATTATATTTTTGTTGTTAATAGTTAATTTGTTTTCAATAAATTCATTTCGTTTTGACCTTGAAAAAGTCCACATTGGACGAAACGTGTCGGCTAATATCACAGTTTTCTTATTGTCTTTTACCTTTATAAATGTGTGTGTGTGAATAGATAGATAGATAGATAGATAGATAGATAGATAGATAGATAGATAGATAGATATGATTAAACTGAGATAGATAGATAGATAGATAGATAGATAGATAGATAGATAGATAGATAGATAGGAATCGGTTGACATATAGAGAGCGTGTGTGTGAGAGAGAATGAAAGGAACAGAGATGTAAAAGGCCTCCGTTATGAACATAGATAGATAGATAGATAGATAGATAGATAGATAGATAGAAACTTTTCATATAGATGGATAGATAGATAGAAATGGAATGATAGAAAGAAAGAAATGAAAAGATAGATAGATAGATAGATAGATAGATAGATAGATAGATAGAAAAGAGACTTTCATATAGATGGATAGATAGATAGAAATGGAATGATAGAAAGAAAGAAATGAAAAGATAGATAGATAGATAGATAGATAGATAGATAGATAGATAGATAGATAGATAGATAGATAGATAGATAGAAACCTTTCGTATAGACAGATAGATAGAAATAGAATGATAGAAAGAAATGAAAAGATAGATAGATAGATAGATAGATAGATAGATAGATAGATAGATAGATAGAAACGTATCAGATAGATATTAATCAGCTAACAGAGAGAGAGGGAGAGGGAGAGAGGGGGGAGAGAGAGATGAAAGGGCACAGTTATGAACAATCATAGATACATAGGAATAGCCACGTATGCCACTGATTCTGCAAAAACGTAGATTTGATCCGATTGAGATCTATAGATTACTCATAACCAAGCATCATCGAACCTGCGACGTGCCAGTCGGTCGACCAGTTTACCACGCAGCTACACTGGAAGCGGCGCAAGTGTAATACAACGAATAAAGGTATTAACCGGGGCAGATGTCTTGATGACTTTCTGCTCGAAATATTTGCTTAATCTTGTCCAACTTCATTTCATCAGTGAATCACCGCTCGTTTATTGACCCAAAGCAAACAGCCTTCGACCGGACAGAAGACAGACCGTTTCGTTTTGACCGACGAGTTTTTAATCAATGGCTAGCGATATGGCTTCACGCTTCGTTCATTCTACGCGGGACTCGATATTGAAGAGGCAGCGGGAAGTCAAGAAGTGTCAAATGAGTGTTTACGCGGTATCAGCGTCGTCCAAGAAGCCGGGCAGCGATCAATTGACAAGCGGAGCTCTGTTTAATTTTATAATGCTCCTGTTTCGTTGGTTGGCTGGAAAACAGAACAATAATAATTATGAGGAATAAGCGGAGGGCAGGGTAGGGTTAAGATTAGGGTGAAGGAAAATAGAGGTGTGTCCAGGACCAAATTTAAGTTGGGATTTCAAATGATTCAGGGCATCTACTTCACTTGTTGATGATAGCACAAGATGATCGTCTGTGAAAACGCAAAAACACCGAACAGATATACAATGGCAGATAGATAGATAGATAGATAGATAGATAGATAGATAGATAGATAGATGGACATGACGAGACTGAGATAGATAGATAGATAGATAGATAGATAGATAGATAGATAGATAGATAGATAGATAGATATGCATTGGACATGACGAGACTGAAATAGATAGATAGATAGATAGATAGATAGATAGATAGATAGATAGATAGATAGATAGATAGATAGATAGATAGATAATGTATTGGACAGGCTTAGATAGATAGATAGATAGATAGATAGATAGATAGATAGATAGATAGATAGATAGATAGATAGATAGAAATTAAAAACATATACAGGAAGCAATAATGACAGAATGAAATGAAAAGAAAGAAAGAAAGAAAGAAAGAAAGAAAGAAAGCTAAATTGTCTACATCTTTATTGTCATATTCGCGTCGTTTCGGCCGTTGTACGCTCCGGCCTTCTTCAAGTGATATACGTTGGAATTTCGAACCGAATCCTTTATTTCGTCCTCCGGGTTAGATTGTTCTAGTTCCACATGCCATGCCTCTTCCGGATATCTAAGTTTCAGTGATTTCCCTTTTGTTTTCCCTCAATTCTGCAAGTTTTTTTTCACATCTGCTGTGGCCTGGTATTGAACTCACATCGCTTTGGATCGAGTCACTGGATTGCTTCAACCAACGCTTTTACCCACGTGGATATGGCCTACAGACAGACAGATAGATAGATAGATAGATAGATAGATAGATAGATAGAAATGAAAAAAATATATACCAGATCAGTCTGAAAAGTAATGGGGCTGGGTGTGCTATGGACAAAAAAGTTACAAGCGGATTGTTTTATCATCTAACATGATAGCACGGGAGTATATAACTGTGATCTTAGTTTTCTGCAACCATTGCATTTTTTTTTCACATTCTTTTGTAGCAGGACACATCAGGACTGCTTCACCACAACAATGCAACTGCACACAACCCCCTGAGCATCTGAAAATTCCTGGTCGAGAAGAACTTCACTGTACTGCAACAATCTTCCTATTCACCTGATCTTACTCCGTATGACTTCATACTTTCCCCCAAGGAAAAGTCATCAAGGGAACCTGGTTTGGTTTGGTTTGTTTTACGGCATATCAACCTCAATCGGTTATTTAAAACCAACAATTTTTATTACTGGTAATATTTTTTTTTTCAAAAATATATTTCATGTAATATTTTTTCTTCAAAAATGTACAGCTGGTAATTTTTTTTTTTTCGAAAATGTATTGCTGTTAATATCCCTACCCTCAGAAATGTATTGCTGGTAATGTCCCTTCCCTCAGAAATGGATTGCTGGTAATATCCCTTTCCTCAGAAATGTATTGCTGGTAATATCTCTTCCCTCAGAAATGGATTGCTGGTAATGTCCCTTCCCTCAGAAATGGATTGCTGGTAATATCCCTTTCCTCAGAAATGGATTGCTGGTAATGTCCCTTCCCTCAGAAATGGATTGCTGGTAATGTCCCTTCCCTCGGAAATGTATTGCTGGTAATATCCCTTTCCTCAGAAATGGATTGCTGGTAATGTCCCTTCCCTCGGAAATGTATTGCTGGTAATGTCCCTTCCCTCAGAAATGGATTGCTGGTAATGTCCCTTCCCTCAGAAATGTATTGCTGGTAATGTCCCTTTGCTCAGAAATGGATTGCTGGTAATGTCCCTTCCTCAGAAATGGATTGCTGGTAATGTCCCTTCCCTCGGAAATGTATTGCTGGTAATATCCCTTTCCTCAGAAATGTATTGCTGGTAATGTCCCTTCCCTCAGAAATGGATTGCTGGTAATGTCCCTTCCCTCGGAAATGTATTGCTGGTAATGTCCCTTCCCTCAGAAATGGATTGCTGGTAATGTCCCTTCCTTCGAAAATGGATTGCTGGTAATGTCCCTTTACTCAGAAATGTATATCTGGTAATGTCCCTTCCCTCAGAAATGTATTGCTGGTAATGTCCCTTCCCTCAGAAAAGGATTGCTGGTAATGTCCCTTCCCTCAGAAATGGATTGCTGTTAATGTCCCTTCTTTCGGAAATGTATTGATGGTAATGTCCCTTCCCTCAGAAATGGATTGCTTTTAATGTCCCTACCCTCAGAAATGTATAGATGGTAATGTCCCTACCCTCAGAAATGTATAGATGGTAATGTCCCTACCCTCAGAAATGTATTGCTGGTAATGTCCCTTCCCTCAGAAATGTATTGCTGGTAATATCCCTTCCCTCAGAAATGGATTGCTTGTAATGTCCCTACCCTCAGAAATGTATAGATCGTAATGTCCCTACCCTCAGAAATGTATAGCTGGTAATGTCCCTACCCTCAGAAATGTATTGCTGGTAATGTCCCTCCCCTCGGAAATGTATTGCTGGTAATATCCCTTCCCTCACTGATAATACCTGAGTATTTCTGGTATTAAATCCTACTTCTACAGTTTCACAGTGCTCCGACCCCAGCCCGGGGGCCAACCAACTGCCTATAGCTGGGAGCCAAACAGGGTGGACCTAGGAACACCAGAAACCAAAAGGCGGCTCCACGCTCCCTAAACCTCCTCCCGACCAGAGGCCCTGCCACCGGACGCAGTTCATCGTCCCACCCAGGATGCGGATGTAGTTTACCGTCAGACGGCAAGGGAACCCGTTTTGAAGGAGGGCCATATCTACCGAACTAACAAACATTGAAAAAGAATCCTTTCAGTAGTGCATAGAAGCGTGGCAGACAAGGATAGAAAATTTATTAGACTTGGGGGGGTACTTTGAAGGGGGGGCATGTAGTTTGTCGATTTTAATTGAAATAAATTGTTTGCGGCACCAGCCATGTTGTTTTTCAGACAGATCTCAGAAAGAAAGAAATTAAAAAAATCTTTTGATAGATAGAGAGAGGGGGGAATAGATAAATAGTTAAAAAGACTTACATATAAAAAATAAATGCCGAAAGACTGAGATAAATAGCTAGATATAACGGAATTTATATGAAAACTGAATGAGATACATAGATAGATAGATAGATAGATAGATAGATAGATAGATAGATAGATAGATAGATTAAATTTATATGCAAACAGAATGAGATAGATAGATAGATAGATAGATAGATAGATAGATAGATAGATAGATAGATAGATAGATAGATTAAATTTATATGCAAACAGAATGAGATAGATAGATAGATAGATAGATTAAATTTATATGCAAACAGAATGAGATAGATAGATAGATAGATAGATAGATAGATAGATAGATTAAATTTATATGCAAACAGAATGAGATAGATAGATAGATAGATAGATAGATAGATTAAATTTATATGCAAACAGAATGAGATAGATAGATAGATAGATAGATAGATAGATTAAATTTATATGCAAACAGAATGAGATAGATAGATAGATAGATAGATAGATAGATAGATAGATAGATAGATAGATTAAATTTATATGCAAACAGAATGAGATAGATAGATAAATTAAATTTATATGCAAACAGAATGAGATAGATAGATAGATAGTTAGATAGATAGATAGATAGATAGACCTACATGTTAGAAATAGTCGATAGGGACTGAGATAGATACGTAGATAATTAGAAAGACAGAACTGCACAAAATAGATAGATAGATAGATAGATAGATAGATAGATAGATAGATATGCATAATCAGAATTTGGTAATGAGCAAATGGCATTGGGCGTCGCCAGGAAGATAACCTTAATAGAGTTGGCGTACTATAAGTTTTATTTTATGACTAATTCCAATCTGTTTTATCATATTTGCTTTTTATTACAATCCTCTGGGTCATTAAATTTCAAGGTAAGTTGTATAAGGAATATATAAGTAGCTGCATTCGTGTCTACGCATCCATATGCATGTGTATGGTTATGTATATGTGTGGCGCTGTGTGTGTGTGTGTGTGTGTGTGTGTGTGTGTGTGTGTGTGTGTGTGTGTGTGTGTGTGTGTGTGTAGGCTGAATGCAACACCGAAAAATATACCTGTAGCGAATCAATATTAAATTGACAAATAAATGTTGTAATCTAGAATTGCCTTTCTTTAGGAGTTGGCATTATTTGTCGTCATAAAAAAAATGGCTGATGGCGTAGATCGGGGAGAAATATTGATTAAACTATATTAATTTAAGCACATGCCAACCTTCGCGAAACATTCGAACAGAGATTACTATCAACGGCTTGCGTCACTAACTACATCACAGGTTCCCTATCATGTGAGATAAATGTAATGACCCATGTCAATGCTTCCCGAGTTTTAGATATGTTATCTTGATTCGTAAAGAAAATGATGTAATTAATTATCCGTATTACGCTGTAAACAAACCATTCTGGCAAGAATTTAGCCCCCCCTGCTGCCTTTGTTTCCAATTCCTACTCCTACTCCTCCTTCTCGTTTTCTTCTTTTCTTTCCTTTTTTTTATTTAGTTTTATTAAATAAAGACCACAGGTTCATGTCAGAAAACATTAATTAATTGTGAATTGCGGTAACGTTCTACGGGTTGATGTAGGGACAAGTGAAGAAGAAAGAAAGAAAGAAAGAAAGAAAGAAAGAAAGAAAGAAAGAAAGAAAGAAAAATAAAGAAAAAAAGAAAGAAAGAAAGAGACAATGACAAAAACGATATATAATGTAGACTGACGAAATTAGGAGGCACAAATTTGTTAGGATAAAATTTGTGCACAATAGATAGATATGAACAGACTGAAAATAGATAATGAGCAATATGTACTACACACACACACATATATATATTTATATATATATATATATATATATATATATATATATATATATATATATATATATATAGATATAGATAGATAGATAATGAGCAGATTGTGATAGATAGAGAGATAGACAGTCTGACAGACAGACAGACAGACAGACAGAGATAATGAACGTCCTGATATATATATATATATATATATATATATGCACATTTTATTGAATACGACAGACGAAAGCGCTCGGATAAAAAGAACATACGGACAGTTTTTATATAATTTATCATCCGAAAAGAAAAGATTATTAGATCACATGAGAAATTGTATAAAAAAAATTAAATAAATGCACCTTGTCTGTCGTATTCAATGAAATGTGCATGAAAGAAGGATTGCTGCCTAAATACACAAATATATATATATATATATATATATATATATATATATATATATATATATATATATATAGAGAGAGAGAGAGAGAGGAGAGAGAGCTATCAACAAACTGAGATGGATAAGTAGATAGATAATGAAATATTAAATCAAAGGAATGAATTAGTTTCAAAATGTTGTCACAGGAGTAGATTTAAACTTATATAATATTTATGATCTTAGTTTATTTTTTAATTGCCCTTCTAATATTGCACATATGACTTTAGTTATTTCCATATTTTGCCCTCTCCACATCAACGCTATCATATAATCTTCCACTACTTTTTGAACTACCTTTTATATTTTCTTTATCCTTTTAAATTTTTAAAAAAGGATTTTGTTTCTTTTATATATTCTGGGTAATTTTTTGCATTTTTAATATTTTAACTTATTTTTAAATAAATGGTTGATATAATTTTTTAATTATTTTTTCTAAACATTTTTTCTTAACATTTCTCTTAATATAAACTATCTAAAACGATTGTTGTTAATCTTAATATACAAATTATTTGTAAGCATATTTTGTAAATTTGAGTGTTAATAACTTGTTTTGTTTTTATATAATTAATAATTATCATATTAAAAATCCTCTTCTCTTTCGGATTCCCTTAGCATGACTCCTTCTTCCTTATAACCACAAGTTGAGGTGTTAAAGTTTATATCTAGTTAAATTTATGTAGCGAATTTTTCATTTAAGCCAGACAACACCCGCCTTCCCCTTACCACCACTCGGGCAATTTTTATGTTGTCTGCCATGTTATAGGTTAGCTATGCATCAATTCTTTCAAATGTTTTTTTCGTAAATATTAAATTTTAAATTAAAAGTTCCGAGACAGTCCACCATTTGAGTTGAACAAAGTCAGCGTATTGACGTTGATTGAAATAGTCTATAATCCTGAGGTAATTTGGGATTTCCCTGTTCTATAATTTATATGTGTTAGACATTTCCATGACGGTCGTCCTCGAGTATTGAATCTACAGGTTGGCAGTGAATATTTCGGAGACAGTAGGAAAGCGTACTTTAGGTTCGCAGTGGATATCACAGCAGAGTGTAGTTCATCCTTCTCCTGGTCGCCTTTGGTCCTTCCGGTAGACGAAACAAGATGGCCGCCTTTATACACGACGAATACAGTGTTGGGCGGCTTCTGATTGGTCAACCTTCCATTGGTCGATTATAAAGGGAAATAAGTCATTCTGACTCACTCACTAGTTAGACGTATTATATACCCAAAAAACCGTAACAATATGCCCTGTTAATAAATACACTGATCTCTTTTTGAAGATTAGTTTTAATATTTTATATTATTAGGATTCACTTAGGTCATATACAAATGGATTTATTATCTGTAGTATATATATATATATATATATATATATATATATATATATATATATATAATTATTTTTAAAAAAAAATTATAACATAAGTATGTTATAAAATCACTACAAAAATAGCCATTTTGTTTTAACACAATCTGTGTCTTATCAAGTGATGATGTTGAAAAGAAAAAAAAGTGAACATTGAAGTCATCACTCAGAGGCGACAGGCTGTTTCATGCTTGACGCAATCGTCAGGCCGAGAATGCTGGATTTTTCCTCGGCTATTTATAGATATAGGTCAGTGGTGCATTGTGGGTAATCTATTCTGGCGGTTATTTTGTTTGTTTAGTTATTTGTTTGGATTGATTTATTTTACTTGTTTTTCATTTCCATTTTGTATTATTTATTCTTTTCGTTTTTTGATGAACTATTTTGTTTTTTTGGGTTTTTTTTTTTCGGAACTATGAATCATAAAACAAACATATGACATGAAAAGAAATAAACACGAATTTATTTTATTTTATTATTTAGAAACGAACTAACTGTTGTTACTCTGACTTATTTTCTCATAAATATACCCTTTATTTTTAGAGAAGTGCACTGAAAAAGGACAGTCTCTTATAAATGCCCGGTTTAACAAACAGGTTTGAATTAAGGTTTAGAACACTTTGTTTACGATATCTAAAAATATTGGTTTAGATTTATTGAATTTAATTAAATTTATTGAGTTTAACTTAATATAACTAAAAAAATACATGATGTATTTACATAACGTATTAAAATACAACTTATGACATACTGAAATTTGGTTGAACATCCGCAACCGTGTCAGGAAAATAAAAGGTTAATACCTTCCCAATAAGATTGATATTAAAACAGCAACTATTGGCAAGATTTTCGAAATGTATTATATAGTACGTGTATTAGGTTGTTTGGTTGTTTGGAAATAGGCAGGTCATGCAGCATTTTAAATCCTACTAACCTTTTCCCCACTGACGATGCCCTGTTAAATACTCTATAGCCATTTTCCTGGAAGATGTTCAGACGAGAGGCATTTTTTTACAATTGATGTTTAGTTCTTTCTTTTCAATATGGATATCCTTTTACTCATGTACCCCCAACACAAAATCGAGGTCTACTGAATTTATTGAATTTAATTAAATTTATTGAGTTTAACTTAATATAACAACGTTCTTAATAAATGTCGCCTATTATATGTTTTAATAGTAAAACAAACGAAAAATTTTTAATAGTAATCGAACTAAAAATTTTAATGGTGAACAAAACTAAAAATTTTGAAAATGCCTAGTTTAAGGTTTAATGCATTCTATTTGCGATATGTAAAAATATTGAATTTAATTATATGATATTAACTTAATAAATGACTCTTATTGTATGTTAAATCAGTTATGTGCCATAGACACTGAGACGTTCATGTAACTTTCGACACATGACTGATGAAGTAGATTTTTTTCTCCCGCAGTAGGGAGCTATTTCTTTCTGCGGTAGGTCAGTTGCCATCCAAATCTATAGAACCCAGTCTGTCCTGCTATTTGCCCATAGTTTAGGGTGGGGGAGAAGATTCATACATTTCCCTAAGGGTATAAGCACGTAAGTAAATGTAATAGATTTAACTGGAATTCGAACTCGACTCTCCGATTCCTCAATCCAAGCCGATATCCGTTACTCCACCGTGCCTCCCCTTTTTAAATGGTAAACCAAACTAAAAATTCAACAGACTGTTTTTAAAAATAAATTTTAGAAAGAAAAACATAAATTATTCATGAAAAAATAAAATTTTATTAATTTTTTTTTTTTTTGTTATGAAGAAGAATATCAAAGAGAAAAATGAAATTTAATCAATTCACCCCAAGCAAGGCGATAATGCCACTAAGACAGAAGGGGGCTACAAGGAGTATTAGAGAATTAAAAACCCAGTCCTAAACAGAACGAAAGGGATAAACCGATGCTCCTTTTCAAAAGACCGGAGAAGTGTTTGAATCGGACGATTGGCGTACCTATTTAGTAGAAAAAAAGAAAGAAATACTACATCAAACGTCCGAGTGTCAGTGGAAATGTTAGCAATAAAGAGCTAAAGTAGACTTTAGAAGCAACCGGAAACCCAATCCTAAACAGGAATCAAGGGAAAAACCTCTACTCCTGTTCAAAAACCGGGATAGAGTGTGAATCGGTAATTTAATTTTATGTAACAATAATGTGATTTTGAAATAAATTTGGCAGTGTAAAATAGAATCGAGGAAAAAAACGAAACATAACAAAACTTTAAAATTACCTTTCTTGATAAAGCCATTGTAACATCTGTGAGAAGAATTGGATAGATATTTTATCTCTTGAAATCAGGTAAAATTAAAATGCTACATTGTGATAAAAGATATGATAAAAATTGAACATACTTTTTGCCTGTTAGAAACAAATACATATATCGGAAATAAATAAAGATGATCATTTCTCTGTATGCTTTTCTAAATAAACGTTTCATAGCGAAGAATATTAAATTAACTTCTAAGTCAAAAATGTTAAATTAACTTTAAAATAGCAAGACTAAGATTCACTAATGACATTTTTTGGTGAATTTCGTACAAAAAAGTTTTTTCTTTGTCTTTTTTTTTTTTTTTTTGCAACAGACATAAAATAATAAAGCAAATCCGACAGAAATAAAATAAAGATTTCTTAAACCGTCTACAGAAGTAAACTATCGCAATCCCAAACCGAAACTAAATTCTGTTCCTTTCTGGAGTTCCCTCCTGAAATTTGAAATAAGTCTCCAGTTGCGCCATGAATTGGCTTGAAGTAAAATATGAACCAGTAACAAACTTTTACCAAATAATTTTGGTATCTTAAATATTCAAAAGAATATTTACGATACAGGTGGACGGTTGAAAATTATTCCATGTGAAAGTATAACCTCACTTATTGCTGTATCTGTCTATATTTCTGAGATGAGGTATTAAGTACTCTATTTACAAGTGTTTTACTTTATCCACTGTGTCATGTGTCCTCACGGAAACATGGCACAGTGTATAAAGGCATTAGTTAGATCCAGTGACAGGACCCAAAGTGTGTGAGTTCCATACCCGGTTAAGGCAGTGGAAAACTTGGAGAGGGGAATTAACAGGAGATAACTGATAACTGACATCCATTAAACATGGCACATGGAACTAGAACAGTCTACCCAAGTGAGCGAAATAAAGAGATCAGTTCGTCATT